ACGGACTGGGAAGGTGTCGTATTAGCTTTAATTGCACACCTGGAAAGAGTAGAATCACCATCCACCAACTTAAAATACCATATATTACATATATATGAATAATAATCACAATAATATTTTTATATAAATTTATAGTAAAAATAATTGATTGATTTAAATTAAAATTATTTTTACCTAATCATCTTTTACCACGCAATATAAAAAATGTTTATGAAATATGTATGTGTAATATTATTTTATATTATATAATATAATGTCTAAGAAATAATTGTTAATGTTAATATACCATATTTAGAAAGAATTAGAATATAAAAAAATATATAAAGGACACTTTGGGAAAGCATGAATCTTCCATAACCAATTTATTGTTGTTTTGTTCATCCAGTAATGCTATAGCCATTGATAGTAGTGTACCGAACGTGACAAAATCTTGATCGTTGATTAATATCAAGTTAAAATTAATCAATTATCAGGATTTTGTCACTTATTCAATGCATTATCGCCGCTAATTGTATTATTTCCTTTGTTCATCACATGTGATGTCACTCATTAAAATACATTCAAACTTAAATTTCACCTAATTCTTACCTTCTCATTTTACTTAAAATGTTAAAACCCATGGGTCTATCCATGGCCCATGAGTAGATCGAACATTACTATACTTTCTTGAGAATTCGGAGCTCCCATCAATATTTGTCATGGGTCATAGTGGGTTTGAACTTATTGCTGTATCAGCCAGACCATGTAATTTTTACAATTATTTTCTCAACTCACTCTTTATAAACTATGTATATGCAAACTCTTCTTCCCAATTGTCTTCATGTCGGACAAGAACGATATCAAGGCTTAAATGCAATAAGTGGTTTCTCATAAGCTAGCTGCAATATATTTCCATATATTTTAGAATTGTTTTTTAAATTGATATAAGAGCACGTTATATCTTTACCATCAAACAAAGCAAATATCTCCCTGTGTTTGTAAAATAACTTTATGCCCATTTGCTTCAGACTTGAGCCATTGGACTCTGGTTTGGGCCGCTAAAACGGGCCTGGATTCATAAGAGTTTAAAATTAAAGCTTAGTCCTATCTCCGTACAAGAATGTAATTTATTTGATGATGTTAAATTGCAATTCCAAATAAATAAAATGAAAATGTCATTCAATGTTTGTTATCATTAAATTTTATTTATTTGATAGATTTGAAATGAATTTATAATAACAATCAATTGTGATTTTAGTCAAACCCAATATATCTTGTCCACCATATTAATCTAAACAACAAAATAAAAAGTATGATGATTTAGATGGTAAAATTATGGTTGAGTCGAACAAGGACGATCTTATGAAGAAAGGCCACTGACAATCTGTAGATTACAAGGACAAAGAAGAGTGACGTGAAGGCTCGGGGGTCATCGGTGTGGTGGTCGTAGGCACTTTGATGTTCGAGCAACGCGGCTGAAGGGAAATTAGTAAGGTTGAGAGGAGAAGGGTCTACCGAGAGTGTTTGACTAGGCACATTTATCGACTTAGAATGGCCGGGGCACAACTCTACAGGAAATAGAGCAAGTCGGAACTAGGCTCTACGATGGAGAAGATGATGGTTCTGGGAGCAAGAACTAGTGAACTAGTGAGAGGGGCTATTGATCGAATGAGAGTAATGAGGACGACCTCTGTTATGTAGTGAGTCAAGGAAGCTTGAGGCCTTGTAGAATTAAGCGTCTCACAAAGAAGTTCGAGTGAAGAGGAAACTCATATTGCCTGCCCAAGTAGGACTAGAAGCACTAATTCATGTAAGATTAAGAATCTGGATGAATTAGGAAGTATATGAGACTTTGAGTCCTATTTTGGTTGGTACATGCAATGGTTGGAGCTTGATAACTAACTTATACAAAAACCAATTGTGGAGTGGCCCAAAGTATAAGTTGACCCATTCGTAGGGTAGCCCAAATCGTAGAATGATCAAACTCGAAAGTAGCCCAGCTTGTAGAGAGGATGACTCGTGGTATGGACCAATTCGTAGAATGGGCCTGCCATAGAATGGATTTCTTACAAAGTTGGTCATCTCGCTGGATGGTTTTCTACAAAATGTTTTTTTAAGCGTAGACCCAATCAAAATTGAGCTAAGTATTGTGCTATAGAGTGTTTATTTTGTTATTGAACTGATATGGTCCCTATATAATGATAAAGCTGGAGATAATATTAATAAGTTAATCGAATGACAAAAAAAAATATATATTAAATATTGCTCATGAGTGAGTTTGTGGAGGGGATTGGACGTTTAATTTTATTATTATTATTTTAACAAAAGACAGAGACAACCAAAGAAAGAAAACATTGATGGTTAATTTATGTATTTGTGACCACTGTTATGGCAAACATTGAAACTGGTAAGGGATTTTAAATACAACATCTTTGTCTAGCATAAAGAGAGAACTGCAGAACCCGTATAATCCAAGAAAACACTTCTAAATCAAACTGCAGAAATATCTCCTCATCCAGCAGCCGAAAATGACAATCTATTAAACAATCCGTAAATTATTGCATTATGTTTACTAATGAGGTATCCAAGAAACGTGTTGATGGTTAATTTTAGTCATGCAAAGCATGAATATAATTATATATGTTGAAGCCGCCGCCCGGCAATTATCGTGATCAACACAGAGTACCCACTTGCTTTAAGACGAATTTCAATAATATATGTATATTGAAATTGAAGTGAGAATAATGTTGTTTGTGTTAATCGTATGGTAAATGTAAACATCAATTTGAAAATATGTGCATGGATTAAGGGTACGTGTGGACTAAATCATTCAGCTCTTGCCTTCATTTTTGTGGCTAGGGTGAATGGGGAGGCCTTCCATAAAACAAATGATTGGACTATTAAACTAATCACATCCATAGTTTTTGTTAAATCACATATTTAATTACACTAATTGGATTAATGTGTACAAATATCAATGGTTTTGGTTTACTTTTACGATTAGAAGCTTTCACTTTAATACTGCTGATTTAACGAAACGTGACGACAATCTACGAGCTCCCGCATTTGACGGGAGGGAGAAAAACCCGCTTATTTGTGGGGACGTACAGCTCATAATTCTGCCACGTAGTATGATTAGAACTGGAAAGGGATTTCCTTTTGACCTCCTTAATTGGAAAGTTGAAGATAAACGAAGATCTCACCATCTATAATTGTTGTTTTTCATGGATTGAGATTAGGGTTCAGACTTGACAGTAGTGGTGGACCTTACTATGTCATTATTTATTTACTCCTTATTCAGAATTCTTGAACCTCTAGTCCCCTATATATATTAGTATTTTAAGTGATACTCTTAATTATATACGTACGTAATTACTTTTACATAGTTTACGTCGTATAAGTAAACTCTATCTGCCGAACCACATTAATTATTTCAAAGTTCATTTGTGTTCTATTGACGTTTCTCCAGAAAACAGCACTCTTGCCTTTTTAATTTTCCTTAACTTAGAGTAAAAAGGTAAAAAACAATATTCAAGTACAACAAAAGTTTCAACACTGAAATATAGTTCTGTGATATTATATTATGCTGAGAAATCTTTCTAGGTATTCCATTTAACTTGTTGAAAATATGAAGTATATAGTTCTGGATATTATATATTGTCTGTGTTGCTTTATATTGTTAAGTATTTATATCCAGTGAAGTACGTTGAAACTATTTAATAAATATAAAATAAAAAATTGATGCTTATTACAAACCGAGCATGGGGGTATATATTAGGCGATAGAAGTTGGGGTGACATCAATAATTAAGTTGAAGCTGGACTCATTTAATTAATATGCACATATATATGTCTAATCAAACTCAAGATCAAATCTTTTAATTGAGGTGAGATTTATTAACATATACATGAAAGAAAAAGAACATGTTCGCTGAATATGGGTGAGGTCTTGACCCTACCAAAGCTGCTGTAACATGGGTAGCAATCAAACTTGTTCAATCATATTATTGATGAAAAGGAATTAGCATCAAAAATAAAGCAGATCCAAGCAGTGATATTGTGCTCTTCCTCCTTTTCTTCTTTTAAATAATTTCAGATGCTGATGTTTAATTAGATAAGTTTGGTTATTTCTGTTTAGAAAGCATAAATCATGACCTCTCTTCTTCTTCTTTTCCGATTTGATGTTAATAGCTACCAGTCGGCCTGACAAATCATAAGATTTATATTAAGAAGTCTAATGTAAGTCTTCAAGGAGCGTGGTGCTCTGATTGTACAAAAATTTCTCAGGTTTGATCATTACCTTTTATTCCATAGCAAAGGTCCAACTAAATAGACTATCCTCTTGAGGATTAAGCAAACCAAATTAATTAGAAGAAACAAAAACTTATAAGCAATATTTAATCACACATATATACCATGGTTAAACTTTTTATATCTATGGACAATTTACAAGGAGAAATAGATATAAAGTTTGTGCTGCTGTTTCCACACAATATAGTTTTTTACTTACAACTCTTTATTATAGTTTATCAGTTTTGGCCTTCCCTGCATGTCGAAGAAAAGATAAGATCTGAAGGTGCGTTTGATTTGAAATCTGGATTCTTTACCACACTGGTGTAGATTTTTCAGGTATGTCTAATATCTTTTACTCGCATTTGGTTTTGTTCGAGTAAAATGCTGGCTTGGTTTGCTGTGTTGTTTTTTATTTCTTTGTTTCTCAAATAAAAAAGAAAGCTTTCTTTTTCCCATTCTATTTTTAGGAGGGATCTTCGGCGTGCTTTATTTATTTGTTTATTTTTTGGGTGAGAAAAAAAAAAATCGTGTTCTTCATTACTGTGCTATTTGGAAATATATGATAGAGATATAAAATTTAAAATGAGAATTAGATAGGAAAAGTGAATTGAAGTATGACCTGTAGAGGGAATTTATTAGTTTTTGGGCGGTGGTTGTGTTAGATCTCAATTTAACGCTAATTAATTCTCTAAAAGGTTTAATGGGGGTTCTAATTTAATTGAAGTTATTTCTTGCTTTTCTGTTCTAAGCAGGAAATGAGAATTGAAGATTGGGATGTTAATAATGTTTTAGTTGAAGACAGCTTTGTTTGTTAGTTTACGAGGTTGTGAAAGATTGAAGATTAGTGTTGAAAATGGATTGAAGAAGCTGGCAGTCCAGTTTTGGATGCAATGTTAAAGGCATTAGCTACTGGGCTGTTGATTATTTCACTCCTAATATCGGTGTCCGTGGCCGACAACGGCTTTCCTAGATGTAATTGTGATGATGAAGGGAGTTTATGGAGCATTGAAAGCATCCTTGAGTGCCAAAAAGTGAGTGATTTCTTGATTGCTGTGGCCTACTTTTCAATCCCGGTTGAGCTGCTTTACTTTGTTAGCTGTTCAAACGTACCATTCAAATGGGTCCTCTCTCAGTTCATTGCCTTCATTGTTCTATGTGGAATGACTCACTTGCTCAATGGCTGGACCTATGGACCTCACCCGTTTCAGTTAATGTTGGCCCTCACTGTGTTCAAGATCCTCACTGCCTTGGTCTCATGTGCCACAGCTATAACTCTCATTACTCTCATTCCATTGCTTCTCAAAGTGAAAGTTAGAGAATTCATGTTGAAGAAAAAGGCGTGGGATCTCGGCCGAGAAGTTGGGCTTATAATGAAACAGAAAGAGACTGGATTGCATGTTCGAATGCTGACTCAAGAGATACGCAAATCGCTTGATAGGCATACAATCCTGTACACAACTTTAGTCGAGCTATCGAAAACTCTGGGTCTGCAGAATTGTGCAGTTTGGATGCCTAATGAGATTAAAACAGAGATGAATTTGACCCATGAGTTGAATGGTAGGAATTACTCGGATTTATGTAATTGTTCTATACCAATTACTCATCCAGATGTTTTGAGGATTAAGGGTAGTGATGGGGTGCATATCCTCGAACCTAGCTCAGCACTTGCCACCGCAAGTAGTGTAGAGTCTGGTGAGCCAGGTCCTGTGGCTGCAATTAGGATGCCAATGCTTCGGGTTTCAAATTTTAAAGGGGGAACTCCAGAGCTAGTCCAAGCATGTTATTCAATATTAGTTTTGGTTCTTCCAAGTGGAGAACCTAGAACTTGGAGCAATCAGGAACTAGAGATAGTTAAGGTGGTCGCTGATCAGGTGGCTGTAGCACTCTCTCATGCTGCAGTACTTGAAGAGTCCCAGCTCATGAGGGAGCAATTGGAGGAGCAAAATCGAGCTTTACAACAGGCACAACAAGATGCTATGATGGCAAGCCAGGCTAGAAATGCATTTCAGAAGGTAATGAGTGATGGGATGAGGAGGCCACTGCATTCAATTATGGGTTTGCTTTCGGTTATGCAGGATGGAGATATGAATAATGACCAAAAGATGATTGTCAATACAATGATGAAGACCAGCAATGTCCTTTCGACTTTGGTAAATGACATTATGGACATTTCAACAAAGGACAACGGGAGGTTCCCATTTGAGATTAGATCTTTCCGGTTACATGCCATGATAAAAGAAGTGGCTTGCCTTGCCAGGTGCTTGTGTATTTATAGGGGCTTTGGTTTTTCAATTGAGGTTGAGAGGTCCTTGCCTGATCATGTTATGGGTGATGAAAGGAGAGTTTTTCAGGTCATTTTGCATATGGTTGGAAACCTATTGAATGGCAACAATGGGGGAGGGACTGTAATGCTTCGAGTTGTCTCAGAGACTGGAAGTCAGGAGAGGAATGATCAAAGATGGGCAACCTGGAGGCAAACCTCACCTGATGGGGATGTATATATCAGATTTGAAATTGGGATGCACAATGTTGGTTCTCAATCAGAGTGCTCTACTTCAGGGGGACAGCTTGGTGGTAGAAGAAGTGCCAGTGAAGGAATTGAGGACCGCTTGAGCTTCAGCATTTGCAAAAAGATAGTGCAGGTGAGAATGGTCACTAAGTTGTTTGTCTTTTCATATGTCTTTTTTCTGGGCAATAGGTTGTAAGACATCCCTTGTGAAATATGGAAAGAAAAAACTAGTTAACTTAGAAGCTGGATTATACTTGAATCATTTTTACAATGGTAGTTTATAAATTTTGTGCTTTGTTGGTAATTGCTCCTGTTTATTTCGGAAAAACCACAGTAAACCTCTATGTGTAATTATGGGGATAAAACCATTCATGACCAGACTGGTTAATCATCTAACATTTTGGTGGATTCCTCAAGAAATATAAGTGGTCCCTTAGTCTTCCTTTCTCTTATTTTGTTACTGATAATATGTTATATATTTAATTGTTGATTAATGTCTTAGATTATCATGTTTCTTGCTGACATTAAGTATATGCTTGACGAACTTAGCTTTTCTTATTTATATATGAATAAAGCTACCCCACATTACTTACATATATATATCATTATTGTTGTTTAGTTGAATTGTTAAATCCAGCTAAAGTATTTTATCACAATATGGTTCCATCTTGCAGTATACTAATGTGCAAGTGACCATTGAGAGTAGAAATCATGAAAGTGTCACTGTTCAAAACATATTTGAGGATATTACTGTTAGGCAGGTGTACTACTAGGACCAAGCTGTTCAAATTTATTTTAGGGTTTCTAAGTGTTAACGGTTCAAAGTTTAACTTGGGATGTAGTGAAAACCATTTCTCCAACCATGCTCTTTCATTTATTTGAACAATTCATAATTATTTTCGTTTCCTTATTTTTGGCAGTTGATGCAAGGGAACATCTGGGTTGTCCCAGATTCTCATGGTTTTACTCAAAGCATGGGGCTTGTTCTTCGGTTTCAACTACGACCATCCATTGCAATAGCCATCTCTGAATCCGGTGAATCGTCAGAGCACCCACAGTCCAATTCTCTTTTAAGAAGCTTGCAGGTTTTATTAGCAGATGGTGATGATGTGAATAGAGCGGTGACCCGGAAGCTGCTTGAGAAGTTAGGTTGCAATGTGTCTGCTGTTTCATCTGGATTTGAATGCCTTAGTGCCATTGGCCCTGCAGCATGTTCATTCCAAATTGTCATTTTAGATCTTCAGATGCCTGAGTTGGATGGGTTTGAAGTTGCATTGAGAATTCGGAAATTCCGGAGTCGTAGTTGGCCATTGATTGTGGCCTTGACAGCAAGTGCTGATGACGATTTGTGGGACAGATGCATGCAGGCCGGCATGAATGGTGTTATTCGAAAACCAATTCTGTTGCAAGGAATTGCCAATGAGCTTCGAAGAGTCCTGCTGCACGCAAACAAAGTGTAAGTTACCGAATTGCAGCAATCTTTGAATCTATTCTGGTGAAGATCTCAATGAAATAAGCAAACGACACCATTTTGCCTCCCCCTTATTCCCCCACCAAGTTCCCAGCATAGACATGTTACGTACAGTACATTCACAGTCAAATGGTATACAAGTTTAGCTCCGTTCTATTTAAATGTGATTGAACATTTTTTCATTATTCTATATATGCATAGTTTAGATGAAAGCATATAAAATAAACATCGTCATAAACATATATCATCCTGATAAATAGGCAAAACATTGTGGAAACCATTAAAGGTTGATTGGAAGTTTTTGATACAAACACAGGAGTGTAGAGAAAAGAAAGCTCGAGTATTATATACAGAACAAAGTATGCAAATTCAGATGTTGATAATGAATAGTTTGTGGATATTGTAAAAGCAGATGAACAATCTTAATAATATGCAAATATTTAGAAACTCTTCTCCCTCGAAGATTTGAGTTTTGTGGGTTGTTTTTATGGAAAAACGCGTGAGGCTGGTTGATGATGATGAGAACCATGCACAGCATTACGTACAAGTTTTATTTTGGTTTCGATTCAATTAGTGACACGGCACGTGGAGTTGGACCCAGACCAGAGAGCAGACCCATGTCAAACCCCACCCCACCCCACCCCACCCCCTAAATTGGTTTGAATATGAATTTGGGTCATTTTTATTTTTAATTGAAAGGAGTTGACGTTAGATCCTTTTGGAATATTTGACCAAATCACAGCACAAATTCTTGTGATTTGCCATCTATCGCTTTTGTAGTGAAATTTCTTGGAAAGTGGGGTGGTGTTAGTGCCGGACTGCTTCATTATATGTGAATATCAATTTTTAGGTATAACGATGGTTGGTTCAACTGTTTTGTAAAAGTGTCAACATTATTATTTATTTATTTGATTGACAATCGTTTCAATCAGGTCCCACCTTCTAATCTTTATCTTTATATCCAAAGGCTGTTGAAAAAGTTTGATGTCTTATTAACCATATTAATTTAATCTACTGTTTAAATTAAGAGTAAACGACTTTTTCTCACCCAAGGTTTGCCTTAATGACACTTACCTACGCAAAAAGTTTCAAAATATCAATTTTCCACCCAAAGTTAGTATTCCGTTACTACCCAAAGCTAAGTTCGGTGGCGAAAATTCTCTGTGTCACTAACATTTGAACCTTTCATTTCCTCTCTACAAAACTCTTCTCACTTCGATACCTAATTTCTCGTTGATTGTTGACCACCGCTAAGCGTAGGTTTCATGTTTTTAACTGATTTTTGACTGATTTCCAAGACGAATATTTAATCAATCACTATCATTCGATCCACCAGTCTCCACTCAATAAACCATTCTTATCATAGTTCTTGGTAACTCGTTGTACGCCGTTTGAGAAAGTGAAGTGTATTTTAGGTATTAACGGAATATAAACTTTAGGTGGGAAAGTGTCGTTAAAGCAAACCTTGGGAGGGCAAAAGTCCTTTACTCTTAAACTAAGCCTTAATCTAATGGTATTAGTAGGGTCCCAAGAAAACCAAACATAAGTGGAAACAAGCTCTCATGCGCATGCTTATATAAATCTAACATCCACATAAGACACCATAATTTTAGACCATAGATCCAACCATTATTTTATTGTACTTGAATCTAAACCCAATATCTTTATGGTAATGGCTAATTAACCTGATACTGAAAAAAGAAAGAGAGGTTATTATGAGTCTCATTCATTCAAAGGAGCAATACATGAATGGAATGGGTGGTGTCTCATATGAAGCAGACAATAATTTGATTATTGAAATATAAAAGCATGATTTTAGGATCAATAAATTAGTCAAAGAAAGAATCACAACTTGTTCATAAAAAAAAAATAATAATAATAATTAACTTGGTTCTAGTAAACAAAGTGTTGTGCCAGGGGCTCTGCATCAAAAACCCTTTTATTAAACTAAATTAAATTTTAGAAGTTGGAACATTGGAATGCATGAAGTGAATCTAAGAAAGATGGGCTTACATACCCACTTGGGGATTTATTTATAAATTATATAATCGCTTGCTTTGGGAGAGATCAAATGTTCTTTGTCAAAGGGCCCTGTATACAAGAAGAAACTATATAAATGAATAAATTAATGCCTTGGTGCCTGAAACAAGATCCATTTCTGTGAGTTTTTCTCCCTCCAAATGGATAGAATTCAAAAGGGATCAAATTGAGTGATTTGAAATTAAATTAATTTGACCTTAGAAGACGGTCCAAATTTATAATAACCAAAATTATAAAAATATGTCGGGTGATTAAAATAAGTTGAAGTTGCTTAATTGAGTAATTTTGGATTTTGCTGTCTATATGTTGGATAATAAATTAATAACCTACTTTAAGTAACACCATTATTCATCCCCAGGACCTAATCTGGGCCTAATTAAATTAAGATAATTAGTACAATAATTAGGTCGTACTAATCACTCTTTTTTTAAAAAGACTGAGCGTGTTTGGTTACAGGGTTAGCTATAGATGTCGTTGGATTAATAGACAATCATTTTCATGCTCGCTCTTCTGTAGAGCTTCATAATTAACAGCTGTTAGCTCGTGATAATCCAATAATTAATTAATTAATTGATAATTTTTCGGATGTTTGTGTTTTCAAAGATCCCTCGTGCTTCCTAAATCTTAATACAAGTTGTAAGTAATTAATTATTGATTAAAACGGACTGGGAAGGTTGTCGTATTAGCTTTAATTGCACACCTGGAAAGAGTAGATCCACCATCCACCAACTTAAAATACCATATATTACATTATATTATGAATAATATATCACATATAATATTTTTATATAATATTATATAGTAAAATATAATTGATTGATTTTAAATTAAAATTAAATTTTTACCTAATCATCTTTTACCACGCAATATAAAAAATGTTATATGAAAATATTGTATGTGTAATATTATTTTTATATTATATCAAATATTAATGTCTAAGAAATAATTGTTAATGTTTAATATACCATATTTAGAAAGAATTAGAATATAAAAAATATATATAAAGGACACTTTGGGAAAGCATGAATCTTCCATAACCAATTTATTTGTTGTTTTGTTCATCCAGTAATGCTATAGCCATTGATAGTAGTGTACCGAATAACGTGACAAAATCTTGATCGTTGATTAATATCAAGTTAAAATTAATCAATTATCAGGATTTTGTCACGTTATTCAATGCATTATCGCCGCTAATTGTATTATTTTCCTTTGTTCATCACATGTGATGTCACTCATTAAAATACATTTTCAAACTTAAATTTCACCTAATTCTTACCTTCTCATATTTTACTTTTAAAAATGTTAAAAACCCATGGGTCTATCCATGGCCCATGAGTAGATCGAAACATTACTATACTTTCTTGAGAATTCGGAGCTCCCATCAATATTTGTCCATGGGTCATAGTGGGTTTGAACTTATTGCTGTATCAGCCCAGACCATGTTAATTTTTACAATTTATTTTCTCAACTCACTCTTTATAAACTCACTTATGTATATGCAAACTCTTCTTCCCAATTGTCTTCATGTCTGGACAAGAACGATATCAAAGGCTTAAATGCAATTATATAGTGGTTTCTCATAAGCTAGCTGCAATATATTTCCATATATTTTAGAATTGTTTTTTAAATTGATATTAAGAGCACCGTTATATCTTTACCATCAAACAAAGCAAATATCTCCCTGTGTTTGTAAAATAACTTTTATGCCCATTTTGCTTCAGACTTGAGCCATTGGACTCTGGTTTGGGCCGCTAAAACGGGCCTGGATTCATAAGAGTTTAAAATTAAAGCTTAGTCCTATCTCCGTACAAGAATGTAATTTTATTTGATGATGTTAAATTGCAATCTCCAAATAAATAAAATGAAAATGTCATTCAATGTTTAGTTATCATTTAAATTTTTATTTATTTGATTATGATTTTGAAATGAATTTATAATAACAATCAATTGTGATTTTAGTCAAACCCAATATATCTTGTCCACCATATTAATCTATACACACACAAAAATAAAAAGTATGATGATTTAGATGGTAAAATTTATGGTTGAGTCGAACAAGGACGATCTTATGAAGATAAGGCCACTGACAATCTTGTAGATCTACAAGGACAAAGAAGAGTGAACGTGAAGGCTCGGGGGTCATCGGTGTGGTTTGGTCGTAGGCACTTTGATGTTCGAGTTAGCGCGGCTGAAGGGAAATTAGTAAGGTTGAGAGTGAGAAAGGGTCTACCGAGAGTGTTTGACTAGGCACAATTTATCGACTTAGAATGGCCGGGGCACAACTCTACAGGAAATAGAGCAAGTCGGAACTAGGCTCTACGATGGAGAAAGATGATGGTTCTTGGGAGCAAGAACTTAGTGAACTAGTGAGAGGGGCTATTGATCGAATGAGTAATGAGAGGACTGACCTCTGTTTATGTAGTGAGTCAAGGAAGCTTGAGTCCTTGTAGAATTAAGCGTTCTCACAATAGAAGTTCGAGTGAAGAGGAAACTCATATTGCCTGCCCAAGTAGGACTAGAAGCACTAATTCATGTAAGATTAAGAATCTTGGATGAATTAGGAAGTATATGAGACTTTGAGTCCTATTTTGGTTTGGATACATGCTAATGGGTTGGAGCTTGATTTAACTAAACTTATACAAAAACCCAACTTGTGGAGTGGCCCAAAGTATAAGTTGACCCAATTCGTAGGGTAGCCCAAATCGTAGAATGATCAAACTCGTAAAGTAGCCCAGCTTGTAGAGAGGACTGACTCGTGGTATGGACCAATTCGTAGAATGGGCCTGCCCATAGAATGGATTTTCTTACAAAGTTGGTCATCTCGCTGGATGGTTTTTCTACAAAATGTTTTTTAAGCGTAGACCCAATCAAAATTGAGCTAAGTTATTGTGCTATAGAGTGTTTATTTTGTTATTGAACTTGATATGGTCCCTATATAATGATTAAAGCTGGAGATAATATTAATTAAGTTAATACGAATGACAAAAAAAATATATATATTAAATATTGCTCATGAGTGAGTTTGTGGAGGGGATTGGACGTTTAATTTTATTATTATTATTTTTAACAAAAGACAGAGACAACCAAAGAAAGAAAACATTGATGGTTAATAATTTATGTATTTGTGACCACTGTTATGGCAAACATTGAAACTGGTAAGGGATTTTAAATACAACATCTTTGTCTAGCATAAAGAGAGAACTGCAGAACCCGTATAATCCAAGAAACGACT